TTAGAGATCGTTCCATATCTTCCATAATTTTACGCTGCTCTAAAATTTGATTTCTTAAAACAGCTACTTCATTAGGAGATGAATTATTTTGTTTAGGATCTAAACTTTTTATAACACTTTTTGCTTTTTCAACATATTTTTTATAACGTTCCTCAAGTGCAGCATTATCATATTCTCGACGTGTTAATTTTTCTTGAAGTGCAAAAACTTTTTGTTTTTGAGTTTGCAATGCATTTTCTCGTTCTTCAACTTGTAAAATTAAACGTTCTTTTTCTGATTGTATTTTTCTCACTTCATCTTGCAATTGTGTTATTTTTTGTCCTAAATTAATATTATCAGTTTTATTGTCTCCACTTGATTGATTTCCCAATGCTTCTTCCAATCTATTTTCTAATTCAATTATTCTTTGATTAGCTTTACGATTTTTACCTCTAAGTGTATTTAATCTTTCCTCTGAATCTTCTAATAATGCTTGAACTGTTGGTAATTTATCCTCATTTCCCATTTGTTTAAGTTTCAACATTTTATTTTCATGTTTTAAACACAATAACTCTTCTTTTATTTCAAGAGGAATCATTTCTGTATTTGTCACAGTACTATCAGTGCTAGGTTTTGCTATATTTTCTGCTGCTTGCAATTGTGTACATTTTAATTCCTCATTTGTTTCTTTTAAAGCATCTCTCTCTACAATTAATCTATCTCTTTCTCTTTGTAAAGTGCTTAATTGAGCTTCCATTTTTTTCCCTTCAAATTCAAGTTTATCACATTTATTAGTTTGTTCATCTAATTTATGATGTGCTTCAGCAAGTTGTTGTTTGCAAACTTCTAAATGATTACGTAGCATTGTAGTCCGTTTTGATTCCTCTTCATAATCTATCTTAGATTGTAGATATTCTAAATTCTTATCCTCTAATATTTTAACTTGTCTTCTTAAATCACTTAAATCTTCCATTTTCTTTTTATATGATTCTATTGTTTGCTCATATTTTGCTACTTTATCTGCTGTTTCTCTTAAGGCATCTATTTCATCTTTTAGATTATTAGCCTCATCAGCTGCTTTTTGTAAGTCTTCTTGTCTAGATTGTAATTCTAATACTTCCTTTTCTAATAATTCTATTTTTAGTCTATAATCATCTCTAGATGTTTCTACTTTAAATAATTCATCTTTCAATGCTTCCACTTGTTTTCTGAGACCAGAATGTCTAAAAATAGAACAAGATTCTGGATTTTCAAATTCATCTAATCTTTCTTGAAGTTTTTTATTTTCTGTCATTAATGCAGCTTTTTCTTCTTGTAAAAGTGAAAGTTGTTGATCAAGTTCATGACATTTTTGTGCTAATTGTTCTTTCATATCAACAGTTACTTGAAGTTCTGTTAATAATCTTTGTTGAGTACCATCAGCTACATCTAGAGATTCAAAATTAAGACTAGTACCTAAACTTAGTCTTGGTCCATGCATATTACTTTCTAATTCTTGAATACTCTGCATAATTGCTTGTTGAACAGTTTCTTCCATTCCCATAATTCTTGTTATATATTGTTGCTTTTGATTGCAATTAACTGCACATCCAAGAATTAATTGTAATAAACGACGTAATTCATAATTATCACAATGTTCACCAATTTTAGTTGCATCAGGTTTAATGTAACCTGATAATTGTTGATTTAAACATTCTATATAATATTCCATTATAGCTTCAATTATTTTCTTAAGATTACTAACTTTTAACCGCCAATTAGAACTAACATCAGTTTTAATTTTTGCTCTCCAAGCAGCAGTAAACCATTCAGGAGCAATTTGAGCTAAGACATCTGCTAAAGCAACACCATCACTTATATCCTCAGCAGTTGAATGAGAACCTTGGAGATCAAATGTATCTAACCATTTAATTAAATTATTTAATTGTTGATCATCCATTATTATTTGTAATTAAAGATATATTGATTAAATCATAAAAATGTTTATATATTTTATAATAATTCTATTCTTTTTAAATCTTAATTTTAAAACATATTATTTATTTTTTGAATAATTAGGTTGAAGGTTAGAAAATATTCTATCATTTCTATACTATTAAAATATTAATATTTTACTATTATAATAATAATTTTGAAAAATATTTTTTAAATTATATCAAAATGTTATTTTGACATTCTTTTATGCAAAATAAAATTAGGAAAAATACTAAATATGTTAAACTTTATCTTTCGCTTTTTATTAAACTGACTACACACGTTCTAAAATAACTGCAGTAAGTACATTGCGATCTTGTCAAATAGATGTATCTGTAATATATATATTATACTTAATGCATTCATACATAATTTACTTATGTTGACAAAATTACCAATTTATTGATATCAACAAATATTTTGTAGATTTAGCTAAAAAAAATTTTTTGTGAAAGATAGAATAAAATATATTTTAACTTTTAAAGAAAGTTATATACAAGCTAGTCATATACAAAGTCATATACAAAGCTATAAATAAATTTCGCATTTAAAGAAATTTTATATAATGTAAATAATACTTAAATTGATACAATTATTTAAAAATGGATGAAGAAAATAAATTGAAATTAGTAATTTTATTAATTTATATTTCTATGTATTTTTGCTAAACCATACTTCACTAAATTATGAATTTTATTTATTATAAATTGATTTGTTTATTATAAGTGGTAAATATTATAATACACTTTAGCTAAAATATATTGAATGATTTTTCATATTTGCTTTAGTTAAATAGCTATGTAATTAAATAATTACAGTTTTATTTTATATATATTTACTAATGGATCTATGCAGACATTTTTCGATCGGATCTGATAAGTATATTGAAACGTGTGTAGCTGGCTTTAGTTTTATTATAAATTTATGGAAATATATTTTATTTTTAAGAAAGTAGATGAAATAATAATAATTGTTTATAATATATGTTTATTAGCTACTGTCAATATAACACATTGTCGTATAACAGAGAAAAATCTAGTCATTGAGATATTTATTGGTTACATTAATAAAAAAATAAACATACACAAAAAAAAACTACTAACATAATACATGAATGATAATTAACTACTTGCATGCGTAAAAATGCATTAAATGTACGATAACATAGGTATATTTTTATAAGAATAAAATGTATAAGATCATTTGTTATTAAATCTTATTTGAATTTATCATAAAAAATATCATTATCATTATAAATAATAAAATATTAATATCATTATAAAAAGGTTTGTACAAACATCTTATATTTGATATTTCTTAATAGTGATTATATATAATAAAAATAATTTTAAGCATAAAAATATAAAATAATTTTATATTATAATAAATACATTTTTTTATGTACAATACAGTTCTATATAATATCAATATAATTATGGCAACTGAGATGAAAGATAATTTAATAGGTATACATGAAAAAGAAAATAGTAATCCACGTGCTATATTTTACAAAAAACCTATTAAAAAAGACAATTATAATTTAGATGTGGATAATATTGATACTTCTCAAGAAATAAGACGCCGACGGTTATTACAATTTCAAAAAAAGTATATTTTTAATATGTATTTATGTTATAGTTTATAAAATATATATAAGTTATATAAAATATTATAAAAATAAAAATAATATACATTATTAGATGTAGAGACATAGCATTTAATGTTGGAAGAGGAATATTGGAAGAAGCATTTAACTCTGAAGAAGATGAATGTGAAGAAGAATTAGAAATTGAGGAAACAAATAAAAAAGGCTATCACTCTTTTAAACGCCAATTTAATCAAACAAAATATTATGCAAATCAATTAATGATGTCTGAATGGATGTTGGAAGTACCTCAAGATCTTTTAGGAAAATGGATTATAGTTCCTTGTCCTCAAGGGAAAAGAACTCTAGTTGTTGCATGTAAAGTATGTTGAAACAAAACAGAAAATATTCTTTCTTTACTATATTTTATTTATTTTAGGGTATAACTAAAGCATATAATAAACGAGGTAATCGCCTTGGTAAATTCTATTCTGCACTTCCTGGTGGTAATCCATCTGAACATAGAAGTAGTTGTACCATTGTTGATTGTTTATGGATAAAACAACAAAAGATATATTATATTTTAGATGTACTTGCATGGTCTAATCAATCATTGATGAATTGTGATGTAAATATATTTATTTTCAAATTATATGGTATTATATATATGTTACATATCTTATAATGCTGTAAAATTAAAAAAAGATTATTTATTTTAGACTGAATTTAGATTTTTTTGGTTAAAGTCAAAATTACAAGAAATCGAAGAATTACACAAAAGGAATACATATAAAAATAGTTTTCCCATGTTATCTTTACCAAATATCAGTTGTGATACTGATATAAGTTTATCATTAGCAAATCTTCCAAATTTGTATCCCTTAGATGGTTTACTATTTTACCATAAAGATGGACAATATACTAAAGGTCGTACTCCACTTGTAACATGGTTAAAACCTTTTATGTTATCAGAAGTACTTGGTGTTTCTGTACCACCACCACTTGATGAACAACCTGATGGGTATATAGATTTTGTACATTACATTCTTAATTGTCGTGCTAAAAAAAGAAAAGAAGAATCAGAAAGTCAAGTAAGCTTATTTATTTTAATTTTAAAAAATAAATATTAATCAACTTATTACTTATTCATTTTTACTTCTAGATGGATATTGCAGATGAGAATTCCTAAAATTTTACTTTATTTTATTTATATAAACGAACTTCTTAAGGAAGTGAATTATAATTGACATATTGAAAATGTTAATAATACTTATATTTTATGAATGTAACTTTTGTGTTGTACAAATTTACTGGTAATAGTATTTGAAATCTAACATTAATATTTTATACAATCTGTGATATTTAAAAAAATTATACCAAATCCAAATAAATTTATAAAACATATGATGATGAAAACTGCATATACTAATCCAAATTATTATGTTAAAATATTACAATAATTTAACATCAATAATTTAAAATATATTATACAGATTACATCTCAAGATTTAATGTGTGAAACATATCAAGAGCTTTTTCATTTAAATATAATAAAACACGATTCATAGTATCTGCACTCATTACTTTCATCTGAAAATAAAAAATAATGTATTTTATAAAGAAAAAAAACGTAAATGTATATATGAATTATAAGAATTAACAATACTATTTATTTACTTTATTTTCCATAATAGTAAGTGTTGGGAGATGAATTTTATGTAATGTACACAATCCCAATTGTAAACCAGCAAGTTCTAAAATTTGAGAATATAAAACTTCACGAAATTTTTCTATATGTTCTAAATTAAAAGTCATTTCAAGACTTGCTTCATCATTTTGATCTTTTATAATTCTAAAAGAGAAGTAATATAGGAATAGAAAATATTTTATTATTTTTATGCATATTACATAACTTTAAATATTTTGAATATTATAAATTATAATATTTCCTACATAATATTTACAAATTTTAAAAAATATAAACACATACACTGTTAATATTTTTATTAAATCTAAAATTTTAAATTTTATTGTAATTGTATCTGTATCTGGTAGTTCTGGTATTTTATATTCCATATGAATTTCATCTTTGCTTTTTGGTTGTTCCTCTTTAGTTGTTGGAGTAATTACAATTGGAATAAGCCATAATAAATCATCTTCATGTGCAGATAATGTGACAATCATACAATCAAACATGCGACTTAATATAGTATGAACAATTCCCATAGTACCTTGTGTACTACGACATAATAGAAGAGGTAATCTTATAGAATTATCAGTTAATGTATTTTTAGTAGTTCTCCATGACAGAAATATTCCTTTATATATACATTTCTTTGAACTTTCTTCATTATTATTTTTTTCAGAATAAACTTCAATCTGTAATTATTTTTCTTGTAAATATAATAAAAAATAATATAAATTTATTTTAGTTTGGAATAAAAATAAGAAATTTCAATAACATTTCACAAATAATATTATCAATAAATAATTTTTATATTTATAATTTCAAATTGTTTATTATTATTATTATTACCTTTATTGGTGGTGGATCCATTGGACTAGGCCTCAATATTATGTTTTCCATAATACAAAATTCTGTATTATATGTTACATCTTCTTGTGTTAAATTATTTGCAACTTCTTCTCTTAATTTTTTTGCATATTGTTTTAAACATATTTCATCTTGATAAAAATTAAATAAAGTAGAAACCCCAAAAATAGTCCAAGTTTTATTTAATAATTCTGTAAAATATACAATTTAAAATATTACAATTTAATAATATAGAAAATTTATTAAATATATATATAATTATAATTATTACATTAAGTATAATTTAAAATAAAAATAAAGTTTATTTATAATTCTTATAACAATTATATTTAATATACCTTGTAATGTATTAATATCTTCAATTTCTTCTGCTGGAGCAAAACTAATACCTAAACTAAATTGTTGTCTTCCTCTTGTTCGAGGAGTATACATTGTATGAATTGTACGATCACTATTTGATAGTATATTTTCTACATCATTTTCCATCTTATAATAAAATCATGAAATAAATATGTTAAAAAAAATAAAATTTTAATAAAATCTTTATTTGCCAATTTACAATTATTTGAAAAGTTTCAAATTTTGAAATAAAACTTTATATAAAAAACTTTAGCAAGTGCTATGCGCATCTGAGTGCACAGAATATTTAACCCGCGCAAAAGCAACCAATGGAAAAACAGCTTAAAAAGAAAAGATATTCCAAAAAAGTATTTGGAATTCTTACGATCATGTTTTCATGGTATAAGTTGTTAGAATATCGCATGTAAAAAGATAACAGATTAATTAATTATTATACTTATTTATTTTGCTTCTTAATTCCTTCTTATTAACTTCTTGATTAGATTGTGTAGTGCCTAAATTTTTAAGATTTTTAGTGTTTTTTATGTAAAAATAATAATAGAGTTTGATTCAACAAATTCAATGTACATAGAAAAACAAAATTAATATACAATTAAAATCGAACACAGTTATTATATTAAAAATTAAAATTAATATTATTAAAATTAAAATTTTTAATTGAATGCTATTTATTTCTATTTTGTTTTATATATTTGCAAATTTTTAATTATTTTAAAATAGTTAATTATTTATTAATTTAACCTTGTTTCTTAATATAATCTTTCTGAAAACTTTATTAATGTTAAATAATTTTTTATATTATATTTTTTTATATTATGTTTGAATTTTAAATCTGAGAATTTATAAGAATTTATATTCGAATTTGATGTTAAATATAATATAATATAATATATAATTAATATATAATATGTTATAACATACAATTTTTTTTTATAATAAAACAATTGAAACACTAATTCTATTCAACTAACTTCAAACTTTAAATTGATATGTACTAAATATTAGTTAAAAGTATATTTAAGTGGTAAATAATTCTCAATAGTTTGATACATTTGTGAAATAAAAATTGCAAATTTCATATGCAATAAGTAATTTGTTGTAATATAGTATCACTTACTTACTAGGGAAATTTTATATTGCATACAGTTAAAGTAACTATATTTTAATACTTAATAATTTTTATGTTAAATTATCATTATGTAATATTAAACATTTTTTAACTTGTAATACATTTTCTTTTTTAATAAGAAGAATACTAAGAATATTTAATTGATTACTTAAATGAATTAATTTTAAATGTGTATTATTTTTTTTTTTATATAGAATTTTATCATATACTGATAATAATTGTGAGTTGTAAATCTATTAAAAGAGAGAGAAAGAGAGAGAGAGAGAGAGAGAGAGAGAGAGAGAGAGAGAGAGAGAGAGAGAGAGATTTATGTATATTTATATATATAAATTATATATATATATAAATTAAAAATATGCTATTCAATTATAAAAATTCAGTTTTTATATATGTGATAAAATATACGTAAAATAAGTGTATGTATATATTCTTATTGGCGTGAAGAATTGAACATCATTGTGTGTGTGCGTGTGTTTATTTCATCTCCCGCGCAAAAACGTTAAGAATCTAATGATATTTATTATTTATTTTTTTTAACTGTAGATAATATTTTAATATTTGAATGTTCATTATTAAAAAATTATGGGGACGATAGAAGTTACATTTCCGTTTGGTGGACAACCAGGAAAAATATTGAAATGGAGGGTTCGAATGGATACGATGGTTTCAGCGGGTAGAGTGTTACTTTTATATCAAAATGTTACTTCAGGAACGGAAGATAGCAAAGGACCTGAGAAAAAATATCGAGCTACACGATTTGGCCGTGTTACAAACATTTTAGCAAAAGAGGGAGATGTAGTTCAACCTGGGTACATCCTTAACCTTATATTTATGTGATATTTTGATATTTAATATATTGTAATGATATAATATTGAATATATTATTATGCAAATAATGTCAATTAAAAAGATATCGTTTTAATAAAATTATTTTTATATTTTTATCTTTAAATATATAAGTAACTCATATTATAGGCAAGTGATAATGACATTAGAAGGATGTAAACATCCTACTGTAATGAAAGATCTATGTGCAGAATGTGGTGTGGACTTAAGAGTTGAAGGAATTGGTAAAGAAAATGAAAGTACAAAAATATCACAAGCTAGTGTACCAATGGTACATAGTGTACCAGAATTAAAAGTATGTCCAGAATTGGCTGAAAAGATTGGAAAGGAAGATGAACAACGGCTTTTGAATGACCGTAAATTAGCATTACTTGTGGATCTTGATCAAACAATTGTTCATACAACAAATGATAATGTTCCTCCTAATATGAAGGTAAATATTTTATTAATAATATATTAATTAATAATTAATTAATAATTAAAAATTAATTAATAGTTTAATCTTAATTAAATTAATAATATAAATATTATTTATATATTTTTTAAGGATGTTTATCATTATCAACTTTATGGACCAAATTCTCCATGGTATCATACTCGTTTAAGGCCTAATACTCGACACTTTCTTTCTGAAATGAGTCGTTTATATGAATTACATATATGTACATTTGGAGCAAGAAACTATGCACATACTGTAGCAGCATTATTGGATAAAGATGGAACTTTATTTTCTCATAGAATACTTTCAAGAGATGAATGTTTTGATCCTGCATCAAAAACAGCTAATCTTAAGTATGATTATAAAATGCTTATCTTATGAAAAGAGATTCTATCTTATTAAATAATTTGTTACAGAGCTTTATTTCCATGTGGGGATGATTTAGTATGTATTATAGATGATAGGGAGGATGTATGGCAAGGATGTGGGAATTTAGTTCAAGTTAAACCTTATCACTTCTTTCGTCATACTGGTGATATACATGCACCTCCAGGATTAGAAAAAAATGATATTTCAATTTTACCTGAATTACAAAATATAAATGAGATTTGCACTGATGAAAATATAGGTGAAACAGATAAAAATGGTGCATCTGAATTAACAAATGAAAGAAATATAGTTGATAATAATTTTAAAAAAGAGATTAAAGAAATTGTTGAAAGTAAAGAAAATGAATGTGAATTTATAGAAAAAAATGATGAAAATACCAAAGATGACATCAAAAATAATGTCAATCTAAATCCTAATAATGAAAACAAAGATAATAAAACATCAGAAACAAAAGAAAGTTTAATACTATCTGAATCAATACAAGATATTAAAAATGTGGATAAAAATCCTGATGAAAATAATATTTTAGATGAAGATGATGATGATTATTTATTATATTTAGAAGATATTCTTCGTAGAATTCATACTGAATTTTATGCTACTATAGAAAAAGAAGGTGGACGGAAATCATTAAGAGACATTATTCCACGAGTAAGAGCTCAAGTATTAAAAGGAGTACATTTAACTTTTAGTGGATTAATACCTACTCATCAAAAACTTCATCAAAGTCGAGCTTATAAAGTTGCCAGAGCATTTGGAGCAGAAGTAGCACAAGTAATATTAATTTTTTTTTTTTTTTTTTACTTTTTTTTCTGATATCTTTATTTTAATGTATTATTATATTGTAGGATTTATCAGAAAAAACTACTCATTTAGTTGCTATAAGACCTGGGACAGCAAAGGCTAATACAGCAAAAAAAAATCCAAATATAAAAATTGTAAATCCAGATTGGCTTTGGACTTGTGCAGAACGTTGGGAACATGTTGATGAGCGTTTATTTCCACTTACTACGAAGGTATATAAGTATTAAATAAATAATAATAAAATATAATAATAAAATGTGATAATAAAAGTTATTAATTTTAATGAAAATAAGAAAAATGATAAATTATAAATTTAATTTTAATTATGTATAATGAATAATTATATTTTTGCAGGCACGTGCATCTAGAATTCCGCCTCCACATTGTAGTAGTCCAGAACGTATAGAAGAACCAGAAAAAAATATAGAAAATAATTTTGCTGATAGTATTAATCCTTTAATGTCATTCACACCAGAAGAAATAGAAATTATGGATAAAGAAGTTGAAGAAGATATGGATGATCAAGAATTAGATGCACCAGTTTTTGATACAGAGGATTTAGATGATGAAGCATGTGATAAAAAAACTTTTCACAGAAGTTCTGAATCTGATGATTCAACAAATCATGATCGTATGTTTAATTTATATATTTTATTTTATATAACTAAAATATTAATATATAAGAATATTAAATTAAATTTTAAATTAATATTTTAATAATAATAATTAATAATTTAAAATTAATTAAAAAATTAATAACAAAAAAATACTGAAATTAAAAATTATTTTGTTTTATTTATATATTAATGATTATAAATATTTTTCAAACTGTAAGACATAAAAAAAATTTTGAACAAATCAAAAGTACAAAAATTTTTTTTAAATTAAATGTTATTTTATTATATATAAGTAGAAATTTATTTATTAAAAAAAAGTTTTTTTATTATTTGAATTTTTTAATAGGAAGCAATATAAATGAACCAATAAGGAAAAAAAAGAAATTTTCTAATGAAAGTTCAGAAGATGATCATTCATCAAGTGACAAAGATGATACATTAGATGATGAAGATGATGATCCTGTAACACGTTTTAGAAGAGGAGAAAGTTTACCTGATGATTTAGATTTAGGTGATAATTCACAAGATTCAGTTGAAGATTTGGAAATAATGGATAATGAAGATGAACGAGAATGGAATGAAATGGGAGCAGCACTTGAAAGAGAATTTCTTTCTGAATAATTCATTAACAAATTGGCTATTTTGTTTTTATGAATTAATTTTCATATTATTTGTAAATTTTGAATTGATTGTTGTCAATTTTTAAAATGTTTGTAGAATTCTGATTCATGTAGTTTGCAATTTTATAAAAAATTTAAAACAATGTTTTTAACCAAAAAAATATAAAAGAATTATTTTGTATTTAATTATTAAATTTAAAATATATGCAATATAGAAATATAAATAAAGTTAATATTATTTCTATTAAATCATTTATAATCATTTTATTAATTGTAAAAAAATGTTGATTGTATTAATATGTATTAATATGTATAAATAATGAATACATAAAATGTTTAATTTTTATTTACAAATTTTGTTTGGAAAAATTAATAAATTAAACATTTTTTTTCCAGAAATGATATTAATTTGAATAAAATAAATATGTTATTTTCAGTATATTATTATTTAATAATATTTATATTATTATTATTATCAGTATATTATTATTTAATATTTAAATATACATTTGTGAGATATTATGGATTTACAGCATATGGATCAAAATCTTTTGGATCATCGCTATATTTCATATATGACTTTTTACTTGTAAAATCTTGTTTATTTTCCATGCTTCCTCTTTTTGGTAATTCATTATATTTATACATGGATTTTAATTCTCCAAAGTGTTTAGCATCATCTTCTATATGATCCCTAGTTATGTTAAATATAAAATTATAATTTCAAATAAATCATTTTAAATGATTGTAAAAATAAAAAATACATACTATATCTATACTACATTATACATATAGTATTATATATAAAATAAAGAGTACATAATATACCTATATTGTCCAGCAACAATCTTTTTACCAGTAATAGGATCTGTAATATCACCTAGAGGATAAATAACTTCAACAACCTACAGTAAATAATAATTGAAATTATAAATATAAAATATTGTGATATTCCAAATTTAATTTTTATAACATACATACTTTATGAGTGATGATTCGTGTTAATTTTTTTGGTAAATTTTGTATTAAAACTGTATCACCTGTTTTACAAAGTTTTTCAGGATCATGAGCATAAACAAATTCATATTTGTTAAAATACTGAAATATAATAAATGAATACATAACCTCAACTAAGCATTTATGAGAATATTTTAGGTTTACGTACCATTAAAAGATGTTCATCT